AAGATTCCTGGGGAGGCAGGCAGAGGAGACTGTCCCTACCAAGAGGGTGACTTAATGAAGCCAAGAAAGAGGGGATGTATGCTCAGGCCAGTGCTCATGAGTTGTGTGGAGGGCCAGTGAAGGGTGGAGAGGCAAGATTGTGTAGAGCTGATAAGAGCACAACCTCATGACCCGGAACTTCCTTCCAGGTCCCTCATCAGTGTAATGTGGAAACATTAGTACCAGCTTGGAGGGGTGACTAGGACTGGATTGGATGATGAGTGTAAAGTTCCTGGCAGGCCTGGCACATAGAAAGTGTTGACTAGGCCAAACGCGGTGGCTCACGCTTGTAATCCCAGCACTTTGGGAGGCCAAGGCAGTTGGATCACCTGAGGTCAGGAGTTTGAGACCAGCCTGGCCAACATGGTGAAACCCCGTCTCTACTAAAAATACCAAACAACAACAACAACAAAACAAAACATTAGCCAGGTGTGGTGGCAGACTCCTTTAATCCCAGCTACTCAGGAGGCCACGGCAGGAGACACTTGAACCCGGAGGCAGAGGTTACAGTGAGTCGAGATCACACCATTGCACTCCAGCCTGGGCAACAAGAATGGAATTCTGTTCTAAAAAAAAAAAAAAAAGAAAGTATTGACTAGACAGAAAGTGATATTGCTGTTGGGGAGGATGGGGGTGAACCCTGGAGGGCAGGGGTGCTAGGTACTTTTTCCTACTTTGACTTGATAGAAATTAGGAGGCCACAGGCCAGGCCCAGTGGCTCACACCTGTAATCCCAGCACTTTGGGAGGCTGAGGTGGGCGGATCACTTGAGGTCAGGAGACCGAGACCAGCATGGCCAACATGGTGAAACCCTGTCTCTACTGAAAATACAAAAATTAGCTGGGCATGTTGGTGCATGCCTGTAATCCCAGCTGCTGAGGAGGTTGAGGCACAAGAATTGCTTGAACCCTGAAAGTGGAGGTTGCGGTGAGCTGAAGTCATGCCAGTGCACTCCAGCCTTGGCAACACAGCAAGACTCTATCTCAAAAAAAAAAAAAAAAAAAAAAAAAAAGGAAAAAGAAATTAGGAGACATTTTGATTAGAGATAAGATGTAGCTGGAATGAATGAATAATGGTAGCTACCCAAATACTTCTGTGTGCTCTGTGCTTTCTGTTGTCTGCAGGCCTCACCATTGCCGTGCAGGAGAGGGACCTTTCATCTCCTAGGCTTAGTGAGAGGAAACTTGCACTTTGCCCAAGGCCACTTGGCTACCAAGAGAGAAGGCAGGATTTGAACTTAGGCTTGCCTGGTCTGGGCTCTTTCTCTCTCTACCAGACCGCCCCTGCCTGGGAAGCCATCTGCCAGGGGTTGATGACCCCATGGGAAGAGGAATAGCTGGCTCGGGTGGTTACTTCTGCTCCTAAAAAGGTGTGTGAGCTCAGAGTGCATGTTGGCCCCAACACCCCATCCCCCGCCTCCCAGAGGAGGAGGAAATACGATGGTCACATATCAATGGAAATTGAGTTAGAACTCAGCGATGAATGGAAAGAGGACCAGTGAGTGGGAGATGGTTGTGCTTGGACATGAAGGCAGGCACTGGGAGACCTGGCCTTTCTCTATCTGAGGTGGGGCTCCAAAAAGCTCAGGCCCAAGAGTGGAGTCCATAGATTTTTCAGAAATATAATTTTTTTTTTTATGGGCACATAACCTAGCAGTCACTTCAGACTTCATGGTAGTTCTTACTTGGTAAAGGTGACATATTGCCTGGCTGGACTTCTGCTGTTCCAGTTTGGTCAGTGCCACTGGAGAGGGATTGGGGAGGGAGGAGTGACCTTAGGTACCTGAGAGAGATTCTAAGTGTTCCTTGGGGCCAGCCAGGTCAACTTTTGTGTCTTCTGGACAGTGCCACTCACACTAGTGTTGACAGACCAACTTTAAAAAAATTTTAGTCTATGTGGATTGATACTTTTGTAAAAATAAGAATTAATAGGAAAAGAAACTGAAAGAAACATGCAGAATACAAACTCTAACTTTTTATCATTAGATTCAACAGATGTAAAATTTGTCAGTTGCCATAAAACTTTCTAAACTCTTATTCTCAATTTCTGTACTACAGGCAGTGCGTTTGACTGCAGACTAATAAACTAGTCCTGGACTGGTACACTTCAAGAGCAGTGACCTAGGAAGAAAGTTTGTTAAGCAAATTAGTAGAATAAACAGGGTAGTTTTAGAATATTTACCTGATTTTTTACTTTTTTTTTTTTTTTTTTTTGAGACAGAGTCTTGCTCTGTTACCCAGGCTGGAGTGCAGTGGTGTGATCTCGGCTCACTGCAACATCCGCCCCCCAGGGTCAAGCGATTCTCCTGTCTCAGCCTTCCGAGTAGCTGGGATTACAGGCGCCTGCCACCACACCCGGCTAATTTTTGTATTTTTAGTAGAGATGGGGTTTCATCATATTGGTCAGGCTGGTCTTGAACTCCTGACCTCAGGTGATCCTCCCTCCTCAACTTCCCAAAGTGCTGGGATTACAGGCATGAGCCACCATGCCTGGCCCATTTTACCTGATTTAAGAGTAAACATAATATCTTCTCATTTAAAATGCTTCCATCTTTTCAGTAAAATTCCATATTGGGAGGCAGGGATGTAAAAACATACCAATAACTGAAGCCAATGTAGTTGTGAGGGAGTCCCTGAGTCTAACCCTAAACTGGTGGCAGTACTTAGAAAAATAGGTGCTTTTACTTCCTCTGTTGTTTCTGAGAAACATTACCTATTCTTTAATTTATATTAGACTGTTTTCTTTGTTAATTTCTGTCTGGCCTTTGACTTGATCTGTGTATTTCAGTGCGTAATTTTAGGTATATTCTTTTAGGGGAAAGTTCCCTAAGTGGTAGTTGTTGTCGTTTTGTCTTGCTGTGTCATCTAGCCCCGAGTGCAGTGGTGCAATCCTAGTTAACTGTCACCTTGAACTCCTGGGCTCAAGCAGTCTTCCCACCTCAGCCTCCTGAATAACTAGGACCACAGGCGTGCACCGCCACACCTAGCTGATTTTTTATTTTTCCTAAGCAAACTAACAACAAAAAAAAATAAGTCTCAAGAGTTGAATATACTGATACAGTAATTATGTGTAACTTAATTGTTTGTATTTCAAATTGGATTTTTGTTCTCTAGCTGCCAGTTATATCTTATTTTATATTTGTTGGTTTTTTGTTTTTTTTTTTGGTGGGTGTCTTCCTCATTCTGAGATGGATGGCGTGTGGTGTTCTCTCAGGCCAGGTTTCTCTTTTCCTGCCATCCGAGCCTGCTCAGAAGCTGCCTTCCTCAGACGGCCTGTCCGTGGCCATGGTCCTGGGCCCCGCTGCTCACTCTCGCAGCACTCGGCAGAGCTGCCTTCAGCCCGCCTTGCTGCACAGCAGCGGCTCCCCTCCGCTGGCCCCTTTTCTCCTCGCTCCAAAGTCAGGACTCCCTTTTGTTTTGTATCGTGCTTTGTATTACACTTTTCAAGGCTCTTTCATGTATATATTCTCTTATTTCATCCTCCAGACAATCCCATGAGGTTGGTAGAACAGAGATTCTCATCTCCGTTTTAACTGAGGTGAGGCTGGGAGAGTGTCCGCATGGCATGCACCCTCATTCCTTTGCCCTGGGGCTCCCAGAGCTACTTGTTACCACTCAGGTCCAGACTTCCACATGTGCAAGGTTTTGAGTTTGCTCAAAGACGCCTGTAATTTTGAGGTCCTCTTTCTATTCAGTATTTATATTTGTTATTGGAAAGTCAAACATTAGAATACTTGGTTCAATGTCACAGGCCTCTTTGGAAGAAAGAAATCTTCAGAACCTGAGGGGCAGTCAGTAGAGAACTAGAGCCGGGAGCCCCAGAGGGCCACACAGGGTGAACTGGGTGTCTTGAGGGACGAGTTCTGCTTCAGGGTCAGTTGTCTCCATTGGAGATTTCCAGATAAGAGTGGGAGGGGGTGGGTTTCCCTTATTTCACCAATAAAAGCCCAGCATACTGGGATGCCACAGGACATTTCTCATGAAGAAAAGAATCCTTCTTGAAAGTGGGGAGGGCACATTGAAAAATCACTGTTCACCCAAGTGAGAAATCATTTGCTCTTGACTCTCTCTCCCCATCCCCTTAATGGCCAAACAGATCTGGGTTCCAAATCCAGTCCTGCCACTTACTAGGTAGGTATGGTGACGTTGGTCAAGTTATTTAACTTCCCTAAACTTGTTTTCTCATCTGTAAAATGGGTAAGATATTGTCCACTCTGGAGCATTACTGTTAGGATTAAGGACAATGCATGTAAAGCTCTTTGCTTATGGCCTCAATAAGTGAATGTTCCCTGAAACCTAATCCAGAAGAGGGATTTTGACCCAGGAAGGGAGCCACCTGTACAGAGTGGGCTCCAGCAGTGGGTCTTAGACTTGAGTGGGCATCAGAATCACTTGGAAGGCTGTTTAAACTAAGGCTTGCTGGCCCTACTCCCATAGTTTCTGATTCATTTAGTCTGGGGTGAGGTTTGAGATTTTTGCATTTCTAAGTTCCCACGTGCTGCTGCTGCTGCTTCTGGTTTGGGGACTACACTTCGAGAACCACTGGGCTGCAGGTAACTGGCCAGTGGGCATTTAGGTGCTGTAGATACATTGAAAGCTGAGCTTTTTATGTGGTTACTCTGTTAGACACTGCTTGAAATGCATTTTGAAAATACTGAATTTAGTATCTCAAGGATATTTCCTGCTGAAGTCCAGGAGTCTTTGTTACATGTACTTGAAGGAGAATAAGTTGTGAAAGTAACAGTTATAAACGTATTATAGATAGTCTAATAATATCGAATTGGCTAAGGTATGTGAAAGTGCTTTTATAAAATGTTAGATGAATGTTGTCACAACTGAAAAAATATTTTAAATAACTTCATTTTTAAGATTAAACGTCATAATGGAGTATAAAATAGCATAACTTAGATTTCTCATCTCAATGTGCTGTTTACTGTATGTATTTTTCTCTTTCTCCTCCAGGCTGCTGACTTGAGTAAACCAATAGATAAAAGGATATACAAAGGAACACAGCCTACTTGTCATGACTTCAACCACCTAACAGCCACAGCAGAAAGTGTCTCTCTCCTAGTGGGCTTTTCCGCAGGCCAAGTCCAGCTTATAGACCCAATCAAAAAAGAAACTAGCAAACTTTTTAATGAGGAAGTAAGTAGCACCCTGTCTTAGCTGTTAAGAATCCCTTTAAGAGTTGATACATTCTCACCGAGGTTAGTGGGCCTTATTTTGCACTTCAGGCTAAGCCCATTTTTTATTCGCCCAGCCCTCCTACCTAGTATGCCCAAGTTTAAATGTGGTGGATAAATTTGTTGACCTTACCTGTTCTTCCTTGGGGTAACTGTTTTGTGCATTTTTGTGGAGCATGCTCAGGTGTCTATAACAGTTGTTTTAAAACTCTTCTATAATGGAGATAGGGACAGTACTGTAACTTGGTATTTATAATTTAAATAAGAAAATACAGAATTCCAAAGTTGGTTTACATCACCAGAACATTTCATGCAGATCAAAGAACTTGATGACATTTCCTTAGGCTGCTTAAATTGTAGCTAAAGCTTCTGTATGTGTGTTTGACAGTTATTTGGCTAAGGAATACTTCACTTGCTCTTAAAAATAGTTGCTGTAAACTCACCTTTGACATAGTTAGAAATTCTGGCACTTAAAGTTTGGTCACATGACATAGCTTTTGCCAGTGTTATAGTATGTACTGGGGTTTCTAGTATCTTCAGTTTCATTCTGGAAAGAGCCTGAGATATCTGAGCTGTCTGTTCAGGAACATGTCAGGGCTGTTAAATGTGGCATATAGAAATTGCCAAGTAGATTATATTTTTTAAAGCTGTTGGAGCATCTTTCAGCCTCAAGTATTGCTATTTCATATTTAATGTTCTTCCTCCTCTGTTTCAGTATGACTTTTCTACCAAGTGGGAAAGATAAGGTAGGCTTGCTGAGTTAGAAACCCTGGGTTCCAGTCTCTACTTGGGACCTTGCCACTGAGGTGCGAGGGTCAGGCTATGTAGGACCCCCTCCCTTTTGCATTGTTGCTTGGTTTGAACATCATTAACTTGGAACAAAAACACATTATAGAATATGGTTTTTAAGAAATAATTTTGTTTGGGGAAGAAAATTCAAATTGACAAATAAATGGCAGTTAAAATTTGGATTCTTCTGCAGTCGTGGTGCTTGCTATCCATGCAAATCAGCGTCCACCCAGGGTGCTCCTGTCTGACCTCGCCAGTGGGTTTGATAAGATCTTAGGAACCATGCCGTCTCTTCTAGTTTCCTCTGAGTTGACTGGAAATAAAACTTGCCATTTGGACTGACACACTGTAGAGGAAAAGTATTTAATCCCATTTTGCATTAAAAAAAAGTGAAGCAGAAAATATTTTATTTACCTAGATGTTTTGTTAGTATCACCTGAGGAAGTGATTTCTGAGTAGCTGGATGATTATTTTTTTGGTGCTGGGTTGCGGGAGCAGCACACAAAATTGGCCTCCTGTGCACTGTTAGCAGAAATTGTGAATTTGGAATCATTGTGGGTTTTTATTGTTTAGGTAAGGGAGAGTGTGATTGAGGGGGCAGGGATTGGAGCCATGTACAGGGCTGTTAGTAAACAAGACCCGGAGGCAGCCCTGGCCGAGGATGGTACAGAATGCCGCTCAGAGAACAAGAAAGTTTTGTGTGTCGTGGCAGGGGGAGGGCAGGGAGTTGGAGACCACACGTCCCCAGAGTCTCAGGCCTCTGGGAGCACCCAGGCTGCGTCAGCCAGCACTATCCCTGCCCTGGTGACTGGGAGTTGCAGGCTGGAAGGCAGCTCCTCATTCTTCATGATTTAAGCATGAGTTATCTCATACTCATTTTACATTTTATTTGAAAAATTGCTATTTAGAATGCTAGGACTGTGTGTGGTTTAATGCCAGCTTGGCATTTACAGCTTGAGGCTGAAATTGATTGCCCTTCATAGTAAGGAAATTCTCTGGCCGTGTGGATACATTTTTATCAGATTTTGGTCAGAATGTCTAAGAGCAAGGGTCACTGGAGGTTTGTTCCTTAGAGAGTGCCAGGAATGGTGGTGGAGTAGTCATCGTGTGTGTCGTGCTTTGCTGTGGTGTGAGATTTACAGGTTTCAAGGCACTTTTACCTGTGGCCTCTATGGGGAGGGTGGGCAGTTATTCCCATTTTACAGATGAGGAAATAGTCAAAGAGCATGTAAGTGAATTGTCCAGATCAGGTCGCAAGTTGATGACAGAGTTGGAACCAGAATTAATCCAGAAACTCTTATTGGTTACAGGCCCTACCATGCATGGTTGCCAGACCAGCTCTTGCCCTTCTGGGAGCTCACAGTTTAGTAAGGATGGACAGAGAGTACTGGGCGTGTGTCAGCATAGCGATATGAACAAAATACCAAGGGGTAGCTGCCGCAGGAATTCTTCAGTATGCATCACATAACATAAAGTTTTTAAAAATGTTAAGTTCACTGGGGGAGTTCCAAGAAATGCTTTCAGAAAGTGACATTTGATCTGGGTCTTAAAGGGTACATAGTCGTTAGAGGAGGGTAAGGAAGGCCTTCAGAGCTGGAGGAACAACTGGGCATGTGAAAGAACGTCCAGGAACAGCTTGGCCACATCACAGTGTGGGACTTGGAGTGGCAGGGTTCGAAGCTGGAAAGATCAGTTGGAAGCAGCTTGTACTATAAAAGCCCTTTCATGTCACGTGAAGAAATTTGGAGCTGAGACTGGAGGATGTGGGGGGGAACCTTTGGCCTTTTAATCAAGGGAGTGACAGGATCAACTGTGTTTTTAGAACTCTTGTCAGCACTTGTGGAAGGCGGATTGGAATGAAGACAGACAGGATGAAGGTAGCAAGACCAGTGAGGAGGCTCTAGTAACTGTCCAGGTGAGAGCTGAGGGCTTGAACTGGAGTTGTGGCCATTGTTTCATTCATTCAGGACCTGACTTCCTGCCACATGCCCAGCACTGGGTCTGCGGCGGCAGCAAAACCTGCCTTCCTGTGGCCCCTCAGGAGGGAAGAGAGGTGATAGCACCACCCAGACACACTGGTGACCACAGATGGTGACACTCTGTGATGTCAGAGGCAAGAGAGCAGGCCTGAGAAAGGGAAAGAATCACAGGGGTCTACTTTATTTATTTATGAGACAGAGTCTTACTCTGTCACCCAGGCTGGAGTGCAGTGGCGCAATCTTGGCTCACTGCAGCCTTCACCTCCTGGGTTCAAGCTATTCTTGTGCCTCACCCACCCAAGTAGCTGGGATTACAGGCCACCACGCCTGACTAATTTTTGTATTTTTAGTAGAGACGGGATTTCACCATGTTGGCCAGGCTGGTCTGGAACTCCTGGCTTCAAGTGATCCACCCACCTCAGCTTCCCAAAGTGCTGGAATTATAGGCATGAGCCACCACGCCTGGCCAACACAGAGGTCTACTTTAAACTGGGAGGCAGAGGACATCTCGCAGGAAGTGGTGTGTTTTAAGCTGAGCCTCATGTGAGAAGAAGGCCAACCAGGTAAGGATCTGGAGATGGAGCATTCCTGCAAAAGGAATAGCTGATGAGGGCCCTTGAGACCAAGGAAACTGAAAGAAGGACAGTTTACCTGGGGAAGGTGGCATGAAGTAAGGGCGTGAGAGTGGAGGGCCACATCACTTAGGGCCTGATCCAGATTTGTTTCTTAGCCTGAAGTATGGGATTCCTTAGAAGGGAGCAGGTGCACAAGGCAGGCAGATTGGTGTTTTTGAAAGGTACCCTGGCTGCTTTTTGGAGACTGAATTGGAGAGATGTATTAATACATCAGGTTTCTGGGTGTCTCTTGCTGTGTTGGGTAAGACTGGGAAAGGAGCAGTTGTCAGGGAATGGAGGGGAAGATCAGAGGTTCTGGTCTGTACTTGCTAAGTTTGAGAGACCTGTAGATAGTGGGATGTATGGATCTGGAGCACTAAACTAGGGGTCACAATTTGGCATTTGTCAGCATAGAAATAGTAATCACGTCCTTGAGATTAGATGAAAGAGTCTTCGGAGAGATGATGACGAGAACAAAGGCGGCCTGGGACTGAGGCCTGATTATACTCCAAGATTCTGGCCATCTCAGCTACTGTTTTCAAAGGGGCACTTAACACACGGTTAACTACTACGACATTTACAACTTCACAGCCCAGAATGCTGAGGGCTCAGACACCAGCTCTGCCACTTTCTGCTTGCAGGATGATGAGGGTCTCACCTCTCCGCCTGGGTTGGAAAATGGGTGGGAACAGCACCCACCTGAGAGGTCTGTGATGAGGCTCATGAGTGAGTTCAGGCAGGGTGTTTGTGAAGGGCCTGAAGAGCCAGCCTTGGTGCGTGCTCAGCAACGTGGAGGTTGAGAGAAACTCAGAGGCTTCCTTTGCCGGGAGGATCGGTGTTGGAAGGAAAGGCTTCTGTAGGAGGTGAGATACCAACAGTTTTGAAAGATAAATAATTAATTTTCTAGGACAAGATGGTAGGAGCATGGCAACCCAGGCAGAGACTCAACATGTGTGAGGCCGAGGGTTGGCCCGCTGGTCACAATGACAGCAATGTGGCCTTTCAGTCTTCCTCACCAGAACACCTCTCAGACCCACCTGTTACCACATGTGCACACACCTGCACACAGCAAATCCCCAGCATCAGTTACTCTGGCCTTTGCCTCCTTTCTGGTGCCTGGTACATGAAAATATAATAAATGTTGGGATGGACAGATGAATGGAATGGAATTATAAATTTCAGAAATCCACCTGAGATGAACATAGATGAAAAATTCCCATCTGGGAACAAGTATATTTTAAAAGGTGATTTTCCCCATCAATTAAAAATTGTGTGCATTTAAAGTGCTTGTTGATAGAAAAACTGGGAAATAGAGAAGTACAAAGAAGGTAGGAAAGCATCACCTCTAAACCGTGATGCTCACTGTTGACTTTCACAGTCTATGATTGTTTTCAATGAGGGGACACCATAGGGCTCACGCCTTCCACCTCCACATCTGGCCGCTGATCAGGTCAGCCCAGTGAGCATGGGCAGGCCCTGCCCTCTTCCCGCTCCCTGGGACTGTCCCCTGTCACACTGGAGGTCCTTGCTGGTGCATCTGTTCAAGACCCAAAGAAAGTTGAATGCCCAGTCCTTTCTTGCCCCTCTCAGGAAATCATCCCCAGCTCCCTGGAGTCTCTGCTTTCCCCAGTCTTCCAGAGTAGATTTTGGGTTTCTGTTTGTAGCATTCTGTACGTATGATGCCCTTGAAAATGTCTAACGGGCCATTATTGAAAGTATCTTGGCGCACGGTTCATCTGACAAGCTCCCAGATCGTGGAGTGTGTCGTCGTCATCAGAGCTGCCCGCGGAGAGTCACCAGTCACATTCAGCCCGCTGTGGTGAAGCACCCCAGAGGGATGAGGAGTTTACTTTTTTAATTTTTTTGTGGAGTGTGTGTGTGTGTGTTTGTGTGTGTTGTGTTCACTCTGCCCTGTTCTGAAGTTTGCTTTTTGTAACTAGTGGTTGTATATTTGGGGAGGAAGAATTACAAAGGGACAGTTCCTATATGGTGATGAATGCAACCTTATTGTCTTTGTAAAAATCCTGATTTTGGAGTGTATTCACAGAATAGTAACTTTAAAGGATTTTCAAGTATGTGTTAATTGTTGACTGAAATATAAAATGTTAAAGAACTTGGCATTTGGCTTCTTTCGTTACTGACACGATACCCTCTGCTGTTGCCCTTCTCCTCTCGCAGGCTGTGAGGCTGAGGCAGACACACTGGGTAGGCCTCATGTCTCCTTGTGGCATTTAGATCCAGTCTTACTGAAGGGATGCTGAAGAGGAGATGGCCCTGACTCCTGGGGTGTGGAGGGACACTGCTGCCTCAGCTGCAGGTGCCTCCCAGGCGTGGGGTAAAGCTGAGCAGTGTTCTGTCTATTCTGATACAAAGGAATGGTCTGCACAGTTTGTTAGTTTTGTTTCTGTTGCTTTTCTAATCGAAGGAAGGAAATGAGCCCGTAATGATCTACTCCTTAAAGCTTGAACAGAGATAAAATGACATCCGATCCCCTCTTAATGTGGCTTTGAAATACCCTTTCCTAATACTTCCTGAGCCCTCTTCAAATGCCTTTACATAATCAGAGCCTCCAGTTGCCATTTTTGCTTGTGGTTGCATTACGGCTTTTCTAGCAGCTGCTGTGGTTTTTGAATTGTCTCAGTATTTTTGTTATAAATTTATATCTGCATTTTGAAATGCAGATCCACTCACCCCCAAACTAATTTTTGTTTTTTGCTTATCATATTGATAGTAATGAAAAAGAAAAAGAAGTGCCTTAGAAAGCGTCAGTGTGAGTTGCTTTCACAAAATGACACTTTGATGTGGTTATAGACTTATTTTTATTCTTGTTTCATTTTAACTAGTCTAGTGTGTTTAGAAAATCTTGTCTGTTGATGGCATTTGGGATGGTAGTGTTTTCGTTGTTCGTGTGATTTTTCTTTGTATTCATTTCTGAAGTGGCACGGTCTGTTTGCCTTGCAGAGCTGGAAGTATGGGGAGGGCCACGCTGAGCGTTTGGTGGAGACATGGAGCCTGTATCTCCACAGAGCACTGGCCCAGAGCAGGTGTCTTGATGTACACAGAAATGTGTCCATATTTTGTTTTGCTTTTAAGGTTTATTTGCATTTTGGGTTTTTTGTTTTTATGAAAGTGGTTATTAAGAATGGGCCTTGGAGCGTTTTGGAGTTGGACACTATTGGAGAGCCCTGTGGCCAGGCCAGCTGCTTTGCCAGCACCTCTGTTACTTCCCCTGCCTTCCCTCCCTCTCCTCGCTGAGCACCTGCCCTGCCCATCACTCAGCGTACCCCTGCCCTGGAGGGGCTGCGACTGGGACTGCTGCTCTCCTCCACTGCTTCCCACCAGAGCCTTCCTGCCTCTGCCTGTCTCTGTTCCCCAGCTCCTCCTTTCCGGCCCAGGGAGCAGGTCCCTCCCCTGTCCCCCTCTCCTGGATCTCACCTTCCTCCACCAGGCACCTGCCCCGCACCCTCCTCCCCTACGGTGTGCCTTTGCTCTCAGCACCTTCTCTGCCCAACTCTGCTTCCCTGTGCTCTCTCCTAAGGACCACCCCCTCCCTGCACACTCCATCCCTCTTCGGCTCAGCTTCCTCCAGTCTCAGAGGCCTGTCCTTTGAGGCTCTGGCCCCTATGGCAGCTCCTTCCTCTTCTGCCTGCTCTCCTCATGGCACTTCTGGGTTGTTTGCTTGGATTTTCCTTCTGCTTTCCTAGTTTTTGTCCTGTGCCCTGTACAGAGGTGTGTTTTTGTTTGTCTGTCTGTCTGTCTGTTTGTTTGTTTGTTTGTTTTTGAGATGGAGTCTCACTCTGTCACCCAGGCTGGAGTGCAGTGGCGCTATCTCGGCTCACTGCGAACCTCCGCCTCCCGGGTTCCTGCCATTCTCCTGCCTCAATCTCCCAAGTAGCTGGGACTACAGGTGCCCGCCACCACAACCAGCTGATTTTTTGTGTTTTTAGTAGAGACGGGGTTTTACCGTGTTAGCCAGGATGGTCTCGATCTCCTGACCTCGTGATCCGCCCCCGCCCTGGCCTCCCAAAGTACTGGGATTACAGGTGTGAGCCACCGCGCCTGGCCTGTATGGAGGTTTTTCCCAGAGTTTCACACGCTCTTCCTCCGCTGCACCTGCTTCCTTGGAGATATTTATTTATTTATTTATTTCAGAGACAGGGTCTCGTTCTGTCACCCAGGCTGGAGTACAGTGGTGTGATCATAACTCACTGCAGCCTTGACCTGGGCTCAAGTTATCCTCCTTGGAGATCTGAGGATGTTACTCTTCGCAGCCAATTTCTGTGACATTTGTGGTCACATTTATTAGCTGCAGACCTTTCTAG